TTTATTTTTAATTACTATAGTAATTTCTTTTGCCTTGGACTGAACATGATGAATCTTTTTTAGTCACATATGAGCCTTCAGCCGTCTTGTTATTGATAGTCATATCACCTACTGTTGAGAAAATAGCGTCAATAAAATCTAAAATAAATTTAGAAAAATATGAGTATCTGTCATGCCAACGACTTGAACCGGATGGACACGTTGCGCTACAAGAAACCTACCTAGCTGAGTTATGCTCATATCGCATCATGGTGACTTTTTTTAACATCAAAGTATTATAAGATACTCCCTATGTTCTAATTAAATTGTAACTAGTTTAACCTTTGTCATAAGTCAAATTTGTCTAATTTTAACCAAGTTTACAGAAAATGTATATTAAGTAACATCCATGTATCAAATAAATTCACTATTAGAATATATTTTATGGTGTATCTAATTAATCTAGTTTTATGTTTTAGATGTTTGTGTATTTTTATAAATTTATCAAAGTAAATATTTTTAGAATAGAGAAAGTAATACATAAAAATGATGTCATCTCCACTTCTCGAGTGGATAAATCGATCCATAGGCCATATATACCAGGCCAAACTGTAGCATGAGTCCACTTGAAAAAAAATAAAAAAAACTTTGAATCTAACCTTACCTGCATACAATGCATATTTTTAAAATAAGTGTCTTTTATACACAGCTTCGACTTCTGCTTCTTGCGACTTTTGCCATGGAGCCATGACAACAACCATTTTAAAAACGGTTCATCGTAAGGAGCTCGGAGGAACCGGAGCACCGTGAAAACGTGGCTTTCTCCAGTTTCTCCTCGTAAACTTGACACAAAGTATTACAAAAATGGTACTAGAGCCGTTTTAGAAATGTTTTCTAAATTGATAAACTGAGAGTCCATTTGTCCCTCTCCTTGCATAGTCTAGTGGTGAAGCTCTAGTTTGAGGTTGCCATATCAGTCCATGCATCGACGATCGTTGACAGGAGATGGCAAAGCTTCAAGGATTCCTTTGGACCATAGGAATTTCATATGAATCGTACAAAAATTTTATAGGAATAAATTTATTTTTACATAAAAGTACATAAAAGAGAAAAAAATCCCACATTCGAAAAGAGGCCTAAGGGCCTGTTTGGATCCCCTGCTCTAAACTTTAGACCTCTAAAAACTTTTGAGCACTTTAGCTATGTTTTGAGATCTAAAGCTTTGATGTGAGGTGGGCTAAAGTTTAGAGCTAACTTTAAATTACTTATTTGGGACTTTAGCTCTAAAGTATAGAGCAGCGGATCCCAACAGGCTCTAAGAATTCTCCGTGACATTTTCAGGGGATAATAGAAAGATAAGAGCATCTCCGAGAGTTTCCAAAACCCACTTCCAATCTTGATTTTTGGTATAAAAAAAACTATCTCCAACAACTCCTAATCTCAACTCCCAATCTTTCGACACTTGGGAAACTTTCCAATCACACAAAAATATTTGTTTGGTGCCTCTGTTAGAGTGAGCTGTGCCTCGTGGTTATGATTCCTTGCTTGGAGGCTTTGGAGCACTAGAGAAATTTGGTTACCTCCTACTCTACTTCCAGAAGATTGTTTGATCAGGCGCTGTGGGCCTTGAAACTGGAGAATGCAAAACCTCGCAGCCCATGACCATGAGCCGCCGGCCCAGCTGACAACCTTGGCAACAAAATCCCACCACATCGGGATTCCCCGGTATCCCACCAACCCGCCAGGCGCCAGCCACTCCGCCCGAAAATCTTGGGATCTTGGCAACCAACCGAGCAAGCCCACGTGGCGCAGAGAAGAAGAATGGAGAGCAGCCGACAGCCTCAGGTCAGCCTTCCCACGAACCACACAAGCGCTACTCGCTCTCCCCGCGGAAAAGTGGCGGCGCTTGGCTCAGCCACGGCCACGCGCGCACGGCCGGCCACGGGCGCTCCCGCCGCTCCGCCTCCGCTGCTCTCGTTTCGCACGAGCTGTTTACGACGACATGGCCATGCCGGCCGTTGTCACTCGGTCCTAGGACGTTGGAGCTTGCTTCCTCGGTGTCGTGGCCGTGCACAGCCAGGACAATTGCCGGGGTGATCTGCAGCTGTGACTTTGTGAGTGGTTGAGACCCCACAGCAAAACCGGCGCACATGCAAGAAGCACTCCTAATTGTTCTAGCACAGAGATATGGAGTGCCAGTAGTAAAAAGGGTCTTGTCGATACTCGCTCCTCCCTACCCACAGCACATAAAATATATACGTACAGACTAAGCAAGTATCGGTTTGAAGAGAATATCAGTGTGATTTGTGAAATGCATGGTCATCCATACCATACACGTATAGCATTGTTTTATAACACACACACAAAGATAAAAACGGATTGGACAGGTCTTGTTCAGTACTCTTACTTCGTTGGACGATGCGGCCAACATAGGAGAGAAGCATTTTCTGAAATACTTCCTCCGTTCCAAATTATAAATCGCTTTGATTTTTTTTTGGTACATCCATTTTGCTATGTATCTAGATATAATAATATGTCTAGATACATAGGAAAATTGGTGAACTAAAAAAGTCAAAGCGACTTATAATTTGGAAAGAGGGAGTAGGTCAGGAGTTTTTCTTTCCATGCGTGGAGCTTTGGACTAACAAATACTCATGCATACTCGCCATGCCACGCCTTAGCCAGGGCCAATGGGGTGTTTGGGTTCACGCCTACCACGCCTTAGCTAGGGAGTGTTTGGTTCGACACGCCTTATTTTGCCATGTCATACATGCGGCTCCCCCCAAAAAGACAGTATCTTGTTTGGTCGGCAGGTAAACTATGGCACACCATAAGATCCTCAGTTTGTTCACGCGTTAACTATCGCCACAATTGTGGCATCCATTTTTCTCTAGCTATGTCTGCGCCACAACTAGCCATGGCATGCTTTGGCGGAGATTGTGTGCTACCAGCGCTAACTAAGAGGGCAGTAGCCACCAAAGCCCTTTTTTTCATCAAGAGTCATATGGGTTGAGAGGAATCAAGTTCTTTATAAGAGTAAATCTACATTGCTCTTTCTTTCGCTATTTAAGTTGTGGTTCACATATTGATCGATAGGAGCTCTATGTTACATATGCACTTGATAAATTGTCACACAATGCTGGAACCACTACTACACAATTGATTTTCACAAACAACTGGCCTCGTAAAAATCCTTTTGGTGTAGGCAGGACCGTGCTTAGAGGCATAATCCAAATATGACCCTGATAAATCTAGTTTGACCTGTTCAAAACCCTAGCATATAAAGTGGCTGAAACACCACCTCCTCCACCCTTAGTCTCGCAACTCATAGCCATTGCCCCTCCCACTCCCACTCATCGTGTTGAGACCTAGTGGCAGTGCGCTAATGGTAACACCAACCTCCTCGTGGGCTTCCACAATGGCGGAGGAGACATATATTATTCGGTGAGCACGCCCGGGCTTCCGATGATGGCACACTTGGGCAACGAAAGATAGTGAGGAGGGAGAGGGGGGGGGGTCAGAGTGTCAACTACTCACTCCATTCCAAATTATAAGATATTTTGCTTTTCGACATACATTGTATACATATTTTATATCTAAGTACATAACAAAAATCACGTATCTAGAAAAACCAAACCGTATTATAGTTTGAAACATAGGGAGCAGATTCTACCCGAATTGCTTCGCAGGGGTGGGACACAATTAAGCAAACGCGGTCATGCTATGTCTTTGTCCTATCAAGATAATTAGGGAAAAAGTCAAAATATTAGAATAACTGCATTTTTAAAATAAAATTCTAAATGGACAATGTGAAATGTATGTCGTGATGCCTTAACAACAAACATGGCAAAACGGAGGGAGTAGTTCTCTCGTTGTTCTCATGGCCGAACAAGTAAATAATTGTTTTTTTTTGCGACTAACAAGTAAGTAAATATTGAAACTCGTTAGGTTCTTTTTCTCAAAAAAACTGTTTATAAGTTTCCTAGAACATTTTGTTTCCCGTCGGAATAAAATTTTCTACCCTGAGTATTATACATTGACACTTCTTCATCCAAAAAAAAATCGCAACGTCGTAAAATTCACTGGCCGGTGCGACCTAGACCAAACCTGATCCAACCATATAGAAAAAAAATCAAACCCGGAGACTTTCCGAGACGGAGCAGCAGCGTTTACCAGAGCGGCCAAGCCCGGGCCGCGTCCCACAATGACCGGCCCGACACCGGGCTTTTGATGAGCTGCGCGGCCGGCCATCTGCGAGTTCCGCTTTCCAGAGCGGCTTCGCTACGCTAGCTACCGCACGGTGCGGTCCACCACACGCACTACCGGAAATGGTAAAGGTCAACAGCAACAGAGTTTCACTGCCAGTGTCCACCCTCCGCCCTCCCACGCAGTCCCCCGGTCCATGCGAGGACTACGACTGGGCCCCACACGGTAAAAAAAGGCGTAGCACCGCGTAGCACCGCAGTAAGGCTATCTCACCAGCCACAACCAAAATAAGAGAGGTATTCGTTCATTAGGGGCGCTTAAGGTAAAAGATTTAATATTTATTCGATATCTTCTTTGATACCTAAAAGAAAATCTTTTCGATAAATAAATTTTCAGGAGCGAGAATATTTGTATTTAGATTATATTAATTAGATAATCTAAAATAGTTTTTTATATAAATGTTCTGTTAGAGGTTAATTTTAAATCTTTTATTAATTATTTTGGGTTTGGATGCCGGTTCGTCGTTGGAGACGGTCAAACACCCTCTTCCACTCCTCTCCCGTCTTCTCTTCTCCTTCCTTGACCCGAGCGGAGCCGGGGGGCGTGCGACTGCGACTGCGACTGCGAACGCACTCCGCAGCAGCAGCTCACGCGCGCGCTCGGCACACCACCACCTCTCTTCCTCACCGCCGGCCCCCCTATAAATAACGGGGTCACTCTCCCCTTCCCCCGCCTCCGCCTCCGCTGCCGTGTCCTCCTCCCTCCCTCCGCCGTTCCCCTCGTCCCGGCCGAACGCCTCCGCCGCGCCAGCGCCAATGCGCCACGCCTCGCCGCCGCAGGAGCTCCCCGCCGCCGGGGGCGAGATCCAGGCGGCGCTGGCCCCCGCCACCGCCTCCTCCGCCCGCGCGGGCGCCCGCAGAGGCGGAGGCGGCGGCTCCTTCACGGCGCTGCTGGGCCTCCCCACCTCGCAGGCCATCGAGCTGCTCCTCCCCGCACGGCGCCGCCGCCCGCCCCAGCCCCCCAGCCCCAGCCCCAGCCCCGCCGCAGCGCCCGCGCCAGCCTTCCTCCGACCCGCACCTCGTGGACCGCGCCGCGCGCTTCTCCACGTTCGCGCCCCCGTCCCCGTCCTCCCCTTCCCCAGCCCCGCCTCCACCGCCCCCTCCCGCCGCCGCCGCTAACGCCGGCAAGCGCAAGGCCGACACCGTCGACCGCGCCTCCAAGGTAGAGTGCTAGCTACTACATCACGCGTCTGCATTTCCACGCGCTCCTCTGGACCTCGCCGGCGGAGCTTAGTTCTGAACTTCTGATTGCTCCGTGACCGCAGGGGAAGGCGGCGAAGAAGGGGAAGACAGCGGAGGAGAAGCCCGCGGGCGGCGACGGCGACGGCGAGAAGCCGGCGTACGTGCACGTGCGGGCCAGGCGGGGCCAGGCCACGGACAGCCACAGCCTCGCCGAGCGGGTGAGTCCGCTTCGCCGCGCCGCTAATCGCAACGCTCGCTGAGCTTAAGCCAACCTCATGGGAGGATTAGATTCGGTCTGCCGTGGGGGTTTATGCCAATGATTGGGTGATTAGGACGCGGTGACGTCACCGGTAGCCCCCTTTTCAGGGTCGCTTTCGCCGCTAATTACTTAATTATTCGCTTTCATTCTTCTTCTCCAGTCTCATCAAAAAGCTGATTATCTTTTCTGACTTTTAAAAAAATACTTTCACTCATCAGGCGAGACGCGAGAAGATCAATGCGAGGATGGAGCTGCTCAAGGAGCTGGTCCCCGGCTGCAGTAAGGTGTGCCTGCCTGCATTTTCTCACCATCTATCTATTCCTTTCCCCCTCATCTTTACTTCTATCTGCATTTCGCACGCCCCCACCTTCAATTTCAGTCCTGAGCACATTTCCTTTGGAAGGAAGCCTAAACTATACGTAATGTGTCGCCTAGTGTCGTGTAAATTCTGGTTCTCCTACGCGCCCAAGTACACTGCTTTTCCTGCTTTCGGTGGTCTTTTTACTGCTTTTGAGAGGCCATCTCCGAATGGTCCTCCTCCCTTTGCTCGGTGCCCTGGCTGTAACTGTGCAACGCACTGCAGTCGAAAATGCTAGCTAGACCCCCCGTTCGTTGCTGTGGCCGTGCATATAGATGGGCAACGGCCCGGCCCGGCACAGCTGGGCCCATCGTGCCGCCGGGCCGTGTCGCCCTGGGCTTCGTGCCTGGCCGATGGCCCAAGCACGGCCTGTTGGGCTGATTTTCGTGCTGGGCTGGCCCGAAAAGCACGCCGCCGCCAACGGGCCGGGCCAGCCCAAGGCCCACAAATGCCGAGAGAGAGAGAGAAGGAGCAAGAGGGAGGGAAGGGAGGCCGCGCTAGGGCATGGAGGCGGCGGTCGCTGCCGCTTGAGGCCGAGTGGCCGACCGCCGGCGAGCTCGAAGGTCGAAGCCGGTCGTCTCGTGATGGGGAGTGGAGGATGAGACCAGCCGCCGGCGCAGGGGGCATGGAGGCGGCCGCGCTACTTGAGGCCGGCCGCTGGCGTGCTCGAAGCTAGGCGCTGCGCGGGGGGACGTAGAGGAGGAGGGTGACTACCGGCGGCAGGCCTGCACGGTGCGCCGAGAGTGGGGAGGAGTGCGGTGCGACCATGAGTGGGTAGGAGCCGAGTGCGTCGTCGTCGAGTGAGAGGGGCCGGGAGCGCATCGCTGCGACGCTCGGCTCACAAGTGCGGGCGTGCGGCGCTGGGAGAGGCACGACACGGTGGATTTGGGAAAGGAATTAGGGTTAGGGGGAAGGAGCTGGTGGCCTGGTGGGCTTTTTTTTAGCAAAAGGGTGGTGGGCTCTTAGCAGGCCAGATTGGTCACCGGGCCACCATCGGGCCTCTCACCAAATTGCGGGCCGAGCCGGGCCAGCCCGCGTGCCTTGGGTGCGGCCCAGGCACGGCCTTGTGTACCGGGTCGTGCCAGCCTAGGCCCGCTCACTACCGGGCCGGGCCGTGCTCGTGCTGGGCCAAAAATGCGGGCTTCGTGCCGGGCCGTCATGCCACGGGCTGCATGCCCATATATAGCCGTGCAGCATAGTAGTCCCCTCGCTGGTTGCGAAAACAAACCATAATATCAACGCGGGAGAGGCCTTAAATGCAGTGCGTTCTGAAACGTGGCGGTGCCTGATTATTCCGGCACCGTGCGCCCGACATGTCCATATGGGTCATGTTGCACGATGGGGGTGGGATGGGAATGGGGGGTGTCGTGGCCGGCCGCCTCGTCCCGGCGCGCTTGTGGGTGATAGATAGGGGAGGGAGGCATCGTGATCCGGCGTACCTAACTGGGCGTTGGGTGTGATTGTCTGGGCAGAATGTAGCAGCCGCTTTGAAAGGTGCCGGGGCCGGGTAGCTTAATGGGTGTGATGGCTTGGTCGAGGCCATGACACTTCCATCCTCCTATCTTGATGGAATGTTGCTATCCTCTTTTGCGCTCGCAATAATGTTATGGATTATGGGTCGGCATCTTTGGGTGTGGTGTGGGGATGTGGAGGCAAGCCTGCGTGCGTGGAGGTGGTGGCTGGAGGATAGAGGCGCCATTGGGGAGGAATGGCCGATGGTTGTGTTTTCGTTGGTGTGTGGAGTTTATGGGGAATGGTTGGTGTGTGCCATTGCTGCTGCAGTGGTTTGACCATTAGTTTCATTGCAAGGACAGCGGCCAGCTTTTGGTCTGCACTCTGGAGGCAATCACTATGGAAGAGTGGTGGTGTAGGTCAATTCCCTGTGAGGTTTCGTGTTGCCTTCAACAAACGTGCAGGGGTTGCCAATGCTGACTGGTAGCTTTGTTGTACTACAATAGTATCTCGACTTATTCCAACTACTGTTTGTTTGTAGCTGGACGGGCTACAAAATAGAACAGTAATTCACAGTTATGAAGCAATGAACAATGTTCTGCAGTCAAGCTTGTTACCGCTTATTCATGCACGAATTGTTCTAGAACAGTAGTAATTCACTGTTATGAAGCAATGAACAATGTTCTGCAGTCAAGCTTGCTGCTGCTTATTCATGCATGAATTGGTTTTGTTGATGATGCTACCCCCACTCCCAACCTTTTCAATTGTTCTTGTGAAATAGTGTTACTTTCAATATCTATTCCAAATTTGGAATGAAACTGTAGGCAGTTTTCCATTTTATTTTCTTTCTTTAAAATCTCAATGAGATAGGAAGAGCTGAGGAAAACAAATTAGCTAATTAATGGCTGCTGTTTGCTTTTTGGGCTGTATCAGGTATCAGGAACAGCACTGGTGCTAGATGAGATCATCAATCATGTTCAGTCTCTCCAAAGGCAAGTTGAGGTAACTGTTGATATCCCTTGTACAGCCTGAAAAGCCCTTTTCGTTTAGCCAACATAGCACGCATTATCTTTCTTCTAATCGCACTACTGTTATGCCATTGTGGTTGGTCCAGTACTTGTCAATGAGGCTCGCAGCTGTAAACCCAAGGGTCGATTTTGGTGGGCTAGATAGCTTTCTGACCACGGAGGTACTTATGCTGCCATCCTTTTTGTCAGCTTTCTACATTTCTAAGAAAAGCTTTCTCCTGGAGCACAAAGCCTGATTAATGAAACCATATTGACTTATTTTTGAAAAGTTTTCTATCTGAATAGCTTGGTTTCTGCAGAACCTCTGTTAAAACTAGCAGGATACGTCATGCATACTCAAATATGCTGCTGTTATTTCGGGATCTAGCCAAGTTGGGTGCTGTTCTTTCTGGTTCTAGCCTACTCCCTCCGTTCCAAAAATAATGTAAATCTTGTTTCTCGACGAGTCAAAAAATCTTAAAGTTTGACTAGATTTATAGGAAAAAAATATATCAACATTTAAATTTTCAAATATATTTATTATGAAAATATATTCCATGCGTAGTTAATGTTACTTATTATGCATCATAAATATTAGTTCATTTATATATATATTTGGTCAAATGTGATATTATTTGACTCAGGGAATGAGAGTTATATTCCTTTTGGGACGGAGGGAGTAGTTGGAAGTTGGAACAGCTAGTATGAACTGAACCCAGCTGTTGTAAGCAGCCAAACCACTATAACATGTATGTGTGCAGGTAGAAAGTTAGTTATACAGGGAAGAAATGGCAAAATGTGTCATTTTCTGATTAATGAGGTTTCCATTTCCCAGAGCTTCTTTGAGTTCTGCCAATGGGAAGTTTGATGAAAGTCTACCTCGCAGCCTAGTGGTTTACCATTACTACTCCGGGGTCCCAACTTTAGATTCTCCTTTAGAGAGAAAAAGAACTCTGCTAGTAATTAGACAGCTGAACCAAGGTCGATTGCAGATGCCCTGAAGTTATTTCACATTGAAGGATATAGTTTGAACTAACCATATCAATAATGATCAAAGGCTTGCTCTTGTAGATAAATGCATCATTAGAGTATCATGGTTGGCCCACATATTACTTTCAAGAATGTCTTGACAATGGGCCTGTTCGCTGTGGATGTTTAACAGCCACAGCTGCTGTTGCTGCTGCGTATGCACACTTGCTGAAGTTTAAAGAGTATCAAATATGCACACTTACTTTCAGAGGTAGCAAATTCTTTGGAAGAAAATCAGATACCCACCGTGGCTCGAATCAATCCTTTATGCAGTTTAAAGTGTGTTACTTTGCTGATGGAAAACTCAGTGCTTGTTCTTTTTTAATCTTCAAGCTGCTAATTCTATGTTTATACTACTACTTTTACAGTGTGGAAGGATAGCAGGCTTCAACTGCAAGAACGGAATCGACTTGGAGCAGGTAACCTGGCCAGAAATGGGTGTTCATGGAGCAAGGCAGCTGATGCAACTTCAACAGCAGTTCTGGCATGGTGATTTAGCACATCCACACCAAGTGGCTTCACAGTGGGAAAAGCGGGGGGACGGCCATCCTCCCGTCTTTAGCAACTCCAATCCCTCTCTCTTCGGCTATGATCTAACAAGCTCTGGTAAATCTTTCACGCAGTCCTATATCTTCCTGACTGAATTTAGTTGTTTGTCTCTTACTTCACATATCTCAGCCTGGCTTGGCCCACGACTTTTGTCTCTTACTTTGTCCTGCCAGCACTCTCTTGAGAAGAAAATGTACAGATAGGTAATTTTAAAATATGTGTTGTTACCCAAAACTTGAGGTGAATAGTTTCTACAAGCTAGGGGAAATTTCTGAAGTATACCAAGCTATTTACAGTCCTGACCAAATCTTGAATATGCTAGCATTGCTGTTACATTGGCCCAGATAGCAAATAGTGTTTGTATTATTGAAGAAACACGGTTGGAGCAAAAAACATACAAAAGCATGTGGTGCTACAATGACCAAGTATTTTGCATTAGCTAATAAACTTGATAGCTAGCCAGAGATCCCAGCTAGAATCTCCTCTGTTTGCTTATGGAAGATGTCTAATTTGAATTGCTGCACCCTTCTTGGGAGGAAAACTATTCTGTCCACTGCTTCAGAACTATTTAGCATTAGCTATTTTTTCATATTAGCAAAAACCATGAGCCCAGGACTTCGCTAGAAAGGTTACCAGATTAGAGTGCTGTTCCTGGATTTTGGCGCCTTTTATTGTTTGTTCAATCATTATTGTCATCATCGCCATTCTTTGGGGGTGGTAAAGCTAAGGGGGCCATGGGTGTGTTGGTCTGGTGGATCTGTTCTCTCTGGCACAGGCGGACCCTACCGGTTGGTGCTGATGGCCCGAACCCAATAAATGCTTGTCCAGAACCAGAAACCATATCGCCCCCGTCTTTCTGTTTGGGCTTGGCTGCATAAGGCCTGTAGATGCAGATCTGGTCCCTTGGGCCCTTCTGACCACTCGTACAACTGTGAACGGGCCCACCATTTCTGTAAGTTGTCCACTACTTGTCTCGGTCTCTCGTGTCCAATTTTGCGTGTTGGGAGCTAGCCAGCTGGAAACTACTGTCTCCGAATGCAATTCTAGCACAGTGTTATGGTTTTGTATTTTAAGTTCGATCAATTATAGATAAAAAAGTATCAATATTTATGATATCAAATAAATATAAAAAGGGCGTCTACTTCAAAGACAGAGAGCTCCCCGCCTGCAAGGGAGTCCAGGGAAGGTGTCGAGTGAGTAAGCTTTACCTCGCCTCACAGTAATGCGAGGAGACCGCGACTCGAACCCAAGACCTTCCGGTCAAAGACGGTAAGACTCTACCGCTTGTACCAGGCCTGCCCTTCTGATATCAAATAAATATCATTAGATTGATTACGAAATGTATTTTTATAATAAATTATTTTGGAGCCGTAAATGTGAATAATATTTACTAGAAATTTAGTCAAACGTGGACTACTTCTGCTGGCACGCAACACGTAGTTGCATTCTTTTCTGGACAGAGGGAGTACTTCAGACTGAATGCCTCTATCTGCAGACGGGGGTTATGTTTTTTTTTTTGTGTTATAATTATGCTAAGCAAATGCATGAAGTGAGCTATTACTTTCATGCTGCCATTTCCACAATGATACACCACGACAAGATCTTCCATTCTACTGCCCTTGTAATAACTAAGGATGTAGGCCAGCACTGGATAAGTTGATAGCTATTATAGAGATGGTTGGAGTGTTCAGGCCTGACCAGCCTAATTAAGCATTTCCATAACTTGTAAAGATGTGCTATCAATAATTGTAGATCCTAATTCTATCATGCAAGCCAAGCTAACTAGCTCCACTGATCTACACTACCTTAGGCTTAGAACACCGCCCCAGCTTTTGCTGCACCAATGAGAGAGACCAAAGAAAAAGGGTAATAAGAGCTGGTGATCTGCCGTTCGGATCTGGGCAACCGATCTGTGCTACGGCCCTGGATCCAAGCAGAGTGCGTTGTGGAGACAGGAGCTATTGGAGGTACAGGCCTAATCATGCAAAGCGTTCAGGAATCATTAAACACCCTGGGGACCCCCCCTTCTCCTTCCTGACGAGATGAGATATCTGTACTGCATTACAGCTGGCAGAATCTGTTTTTGCCCAGAAATAATTCACAGCTTCTTGATGTACCGGTGCCTGCTCAGCGCTGAGTGGCATACAGCAAGCGCTGTCCGGCAATCCGGCCAGCATCTTTATCACGCGGCCCCCTGCGCAGCTCGCGGTAGCTCTGGAGTCTGGACATGCAGACCTCTTGTTCATGAGCTCGCGTTGAATGACATAAATTGTGTTAAACTGTTCTTTGAATTTGTGTTCATGAGCTGTGTACAGACTGAAAGTTATTGAGATTCCACACTGACTTTGGTCTCTGTTTTCATGGGTTCTCTGCAGGAACCCAGCAAACTCCGGCGACCAAGCTAAAGACCGAGCTTTGAGCGACGATGGTAGATAGCATATCAGGACAGCAAGCTGAACATGAGGTGGGCGGCAGCAGCAACAGAATTTCAGCAAGTTGATCAAGCTGCAAACGAGCTGTGAATGAATGGTGGCTGTGGCTGTGGCTGGTTGATGGCAAGCGCAGCGAAATCGACATTTTCAGAGAGGGGATGTACATATAGCGATAGAGATACTATTGGTGTTGAGCTGAAGACGGGGATGCATGATGGGCGAGGATACCAGCTTTCCTGCTGCTGTCGTTGTAGAGATGGGCAAGCCCTGCTGCTATCGTTGAAGAGATGGGCAAGCGATACTCTGGTTTCGTTGCTGATATTCTTGGTGTATTTCTGACTATAATTGCCCAATCTTAAGGTTATCTGAGCAGCATTTTTTATGAACGAAAACAGAGAAATATCATGGGTCATATACCCTTCTCGATTGCATTTCAACAAGCATTGCAAAAGTTGACAATTTTCTCTGCCTAAACACGAATGTATCACAGTATAACTATATATATATAATGCATGCTTATTATACTCCCACCGTAACAAGTCATTCTAGCTTTTTTAGTATATAATTTTTTAATTGGAGGTGCTAGCGTCCGGACGGATGCTGTGCAGCCTGCCCCTGTCTGCTGATGTTTCTCACCCCCGCACGTGCATCTCGTCTCATCGCAATGCCCGCGTGTCTGGAGGACTCATCTCGCACTCGGTAGCCCACCCTATCCGCCTCGATTTGAGGTCGTTTGCCCCACCCTGCACTCGCGACACGCACCCATCGCGTCCTGACAGCCGGCCCCGAGCGTGCCCCGTCCGCAGGACACCGGCGTGCCACGCGCCCCACCCACCCACCGGCCCATGCCACGCCCCCATCCCGCGGGCCCCCAGCTCGTCGCGCCCTATTCCCCGGTGCCCGCGCCGTGCCACCATCACTCCCCGTGCCTTCTCTCTGAACAACATGAAAGATGTGCAACATGAAACACCAAAATACAACATACATATGCAACAATGAAACATCTGAAATATACACTTGCAACATATGTGTGAAACATATGCAACATCCGGATAAAACATTTGCAACTTGCAGCAACACTTACTGCAATGTAAGACTGAAACAGCTGAAACATTTGGAACATATTGTTGCAACCTATGTTTGAAACATATGCAACATCCAGATCAGAACGCTTGCAACATACGTCTGGAACAGATGGAACATTTTGAACAAACCTGAAACAGTTGCAACGTGCCTATGAGGCACTTACAACAAATGCAACATGTGCAACATCCCCCGATCTACTTTTGCAACATCCATATGAAACAATTGCATCATACCTCCGAAACATCTGCATTTGAAACATACGCTTACAACATGCACTTTTATCGCAACATCTCCTTGCTGAGCTCGTGCATCGCGGTGGCCATGACGTCGACAGCGGCCACGACCTTATGGTGGGGAACGGCGGTGTCGGCAGCACCCCAACAACACATCGTCAGCAGGGGGGGGGAGGGCACGGTGCTTGGCGAAGGGGGGAGCGATAAGGCAATGAAATGGGAGTCAAGCGCGGCATGGGATGGAGCGCAACGCGGCGATGGAGGGGGTGCGGCGCGGGATGGAGCGTAGCTCTGGATGGGGGAGCCGGCGGCGCGAGATGGGGTGCGTGATGGGGAAGACGACAACAACGAGCACATGACGCAAAGCAGCACACGATGGCGAGAGCGATATGGAGATATTTTTTAGAGAAGAGATAAGAAACGCAGAGAGTAAGGAGGCCTGTTGGGCTGGTACGCACAGCCTCGGAAAGCGGCGTCCGAACGGACCCGAGCATTACCATTTTTAATATATATCTATAAATATGGGAATGACATAATTAAGGAAGAACGATTTACAATTTGGAACAGTGAAAGTACTGCAAAGAAAACAAAGTAGACCTTAAACGTCATAAATGAAGAACAGGTTTTATCGACCTTGGTTCTTATTTATGATCTATCACATCTGAATCTCAGTATGAACAGGATTTCGAACACAGCACAAGATGACTGAATGACAACAAACTGGCCTATTTGGATTGGAGGTTTTTCACAGGAATTTCAAAGGAATGGAATTCTTTTGTTTTGCTGACATCATACACCGTTTGGAACGGAGGAAAGCAGCCAGCTGTTCCGGAGGAAAGGAATCGCTTGCTTCACAAAACACGGGAAAAAAGCATCCACCCCGAGCCGTGGTTTTGTGGAAGACCGAGGCGAGTGAAGGGAAAAGAAGCGTTTGGCTGGCCATCAAAACATGTCAGTAGCATACACATGCAGCTTCTCGGACCAGCAGTTTGGTGGGTCAAACATGTCAGTAGCATACACATGCAATTTCGTTTGATGGCTATCCACTTGTGGGACCCACATTAATCTAGGTTCCTGTGTTTAGGATTCCTGTATTCCAAACATGTTTTGGTAAATTTTCTAACGTTTTCTATTCCTTTGTTTTGCTACTACACATCCATTCAATTCATGTAGTTTTTTCTTTTTCCTTTGTTTTGCATTCCTTTGTAGGCCCGAAGTGGCGGTAAAACCACAAGCTTTGTGTTCTCGATGAATGCGTACTTGCAAGAGACGAGAAGAGGAACTCAATGAATGACTTCTAGTAACCCCCAACAACTTCACATTTCTAGCGGTCAACTTTAGTTTGTTGTAACAAGTTCTACATTAAGCGGCCAAAAAGCTGTGTAAGCGCAAAAAAATTCGATCCTCAGTTGAACTACTTGTGGAAGTAGAATGATGCTTCTGCTAAATCTGGGGGTATCCTAGTGGGCATTAACATTGAATTTTTTGACGTAGGTTCCTTTGTTCAGGGAGAGTTTATGTTACAGATGAATTTATGGGGTAAGGAGAACAAGACGAACAAGTAAAATGGAACCTTTTAGTAGTCTATGGAGCGGCTCAAGAAAACAAATTGGATTTCCTTTGTGAATCAAGATTTTGCTCCAAACGTGATGAACCAAAATTGGTTCCTTCCGGTCGCTATTTGCACTCAATTTAAGGATTTATTTCTGCTCTGTGACCAGGTCACTGTGAAATGGTGTCTGGGAAACAATATGAACCTTTCTTTTAGGGTGGTTGCACCCTAAGGGAGCAATGCAACCTAATATGCGAGAAAGTCAATGTCTCAATTTTCTCCAGACAGAGATACTATCCACTGAAAATGGGAAAAAGATGGCGTGTTCTCTGTAAAGTCAACATACAAAGCAATAACAGTGAATGGATCTGTATTTCTCATCCAAACATATCTGGAGAAGGCCCCCCAGAATCCAGATTTTCATATGGCTTGTAGAGAATAATGCCATTCTAACAAAGGATAATCTAGTTAAAACAGGTTGTGTTGGTGATCCCAAATGTACCTTTAGTGACAATTATGCATCCATTTCTCATTCGTTCTTTGAATATTCAGCTTCCAAGGTTATTTGGGGGAATAGTTGCTACTTGCTTTGGAGCAAATAATGTTCCAAGAAGCTTGAATCAAGTTTGGAAGTGGGTTAAAGTTTGGATTCCTAATGGAACTAATGTTCACTCTCTTGGCCTTGCTGCCACTTGCTGAGCTATTTGGAAAACTAGGAATCAAGTTTGCTTTGAAGATAAATTTGTGCAAAGCCCAGTTGAAATCATATGCTATGCTTGCGCTCATGCAATTTTGGTCAGGGCTATACATGGAGGACATGCAGGAGCTGATTGCAGATGGGGTTTGCATTATGTTGCAAGCAGTGTCAACCATCAAGATTAGAAAGCCAGGTAGTTGTGGGGATGGAATCACTAGGCTAGATGGTGCAAGCAAAGATTCACAGGATGGGGAAGCCTAAAGTTGACTGATCGTTGATGGATCGAGAGGCAACTGTTGTGGAACTTGAAAGGCTCTGTAATCCCTCATGAGTTCTCTGAGACAGGGGTTCCCAAAAACTCTAAACGCTTGTATTTCTGTTACCTTGATAATGGAAATGGGATGATCTCGTGTCAAAAAAAGAAGAAAAAGCTCTGTAAACAACTGAATATACTGATATAAATTGCAAGCAGCTGAAAGAATGAACACAATAAGCATAGCAGTACAAGACTAGAGGTTTTGCTGTTGATGTAAGCTGTTATTCAGATGTCTCCTTTCAAAAAAAGAAAAAAAAGAAAAAGAAAAAAGAACTGCATTCCAATGGTAGGTTAAAGCTGGTTCACTACAAAATGGTCAACTTGATGAATCCACAAGAAGGCAATAGCTGAAAGTGCATTCTATCTTCAACATATTGACAGTAGCTACTGCCTACCATCAACCTTAATCACAGGATGACCATTTCCCCAACTTGAGCAGCGACATGCAATTTGTCATAGACATTGCTACAATATCTTGGGGTGACCAAGGACATGCATTATGACAAGATAGTTTATTTATACACTCCGCTGAAGGTTTCCTGCTACTTCATGTACTGCTACATTTCTGATTCAAAACCAATGTTCCAAAACCCTTCCGGTGTCAGAGGCGGTGCATACCTGTACCGATGCCTTGATACACCATCGTGGTGCTCACATCGTAAGCTTGTAGAGCCTGCACCATCGCCATTTGCATGACCACCAGGAAGAACAGCATCATAAAACTTCTTGCACTGCTTGCACTCGACACCTTTCAGGTTCTCCCGATCAGCTTTCTTTCTCACTGATTCTCTATATTTGAAATCTTTCTTTGGTGGCTGTACTGATATTGTGTTTTGCTGCTTGGGAACTGGCATATTGGGGATGTTCCGGAGGGCTTGAGTTGCAACATTCATATCTTGGGTTTCATCATCTGAATTGTTGAATTCCATGTCTTGAGGAGGAGAGGCGGCAAGAGCCTGTGCTTCTTCTGGAGTTGTAGGGTTCCTGATGGTATTCTTGACAGCTTCCAGTGGTGTATCAAGGAAATCATCATGTGGATCAGCAACACCTGGTTCTTTGCGTGCACGGGTCTCCCTCCAATTTAGACTTGGGCCAGCGACGCTGGTTGAAGCATGTAGTTTTGAATTGTTGGCAACATGATTTGGCAATGGATTAGGTGGGCGAGATGGCAGAGGATGGTGTGAGTTTCTGAATGGACCCCTGACTGAACTAGCATGTTGGGCAACTTGGGCTTTGGCACCTGGAGCAGAGTCATTCTTCAGGTCCCTTGTGTTGGAAAGGACCTGGATGCACTCCTTGTTTGTGTGCTCCAAATCTGAAAACCAAGCAGGTAAGAAAATGTAAAGGCATTGGTCCAACCAGTAATTCCGAGCATATTTAGGGGACAAGAGTGTCCAAGAATGGCAGATCAATCAGAGCCAATTAACAATAATTTACTTAATATTTTCATTTGAGGGCATTGATCCGAATATCACATAATTTACATGGGACAAGAAAACAAATCCCCAGAATTATTCCAGGTAGAGTAAATCACGAGCAAAGATTGATGATTCAGAAAAAGTGAAGTAGCTCAAAGAAATTGACTGATTGACAAATTCGAATAGCTGTACCTTTGAGCTTTCTCTTACTTGGAGGAATTTCAGTATTTCTTCTATCTACAGGAATGTCCCCAGGAGGCTTGGAGCCTTCATGCTGGTCAATCTTCCCAAGAAGAAAGGTGTACTGAGACTTCAAATGCTTGTAGTTTGTCTTCAGCTGAGTGTAATCCTCAATAAAGTCCCTCCGCTTGCTCTGCTCCAGAAGCAGATCCTTATCCTTCAGGTCAACCTGCTGCAGCAGCCGGTGATGTGCCTCTCTCTCCCTGACCACCTCAGCGGCCTTCTCCTCAATCTCCCTCTGGAGCTGACGTACCACCTCAACTTTCCTTATCTCATCCTCCAACCTCCCCAGAAGCTGTTTCTTCTCAGCCTCATGCCTCGCAGCCAATTGCTCAACCTGCTGCTGCAGCCGCTGATGTGCCTCTCTCTCCTGACCACCTCAGCATCCTTCTCCTCAATCTCCTTCTGGAGCTGACGTACCCCCTCACCTTTCCTCATCTCATCCTCCAGCCTCCCCAGAAGCTGTTTCTTCTCAGCCTCATGCCTTGCAGCCAATTGCTCCGAATCCGCAAGCTTCCCCTTCATCTCCTCAAGAGAGGTGCCCAGTTGCAGCAACCTCTCCTCAGCTAGCATCTTACCACGGCTGGCCTCCTCCAGCTGGTTCACCAGGCCAGCATCCCTCTTCCTCCACTCAGCCTCACTGGCCTTCATCGCGTCGGCGAGACGCGCCTGGACGAGCTTCGAGTTGGCCTGGATGTGCGGGAAGAGCTGGCTGCAGAAGATGAACTCCATCTGGGAGACCTGGTCCTTCACTTCCTGGATGGTGGCCACGAGAATGGTGCTCAGCCCGGAGATGTACTTGAGATCATCCGCCGCATCGACGCCGGCGCCACCGCAATCGACGGCCAGCACCTTCCCCTCCATCTATACACCAAAGAACAGAATCGCAAACTCAGATTCGTGCGCTTGGCTAAACCCTAGAACTTAAAATCGCCCAATCCGGCCAGATGGAGCATGTGAAATGCCGGTTCAACAAGGAGATTAGGGGGAGGGGCTCACCTCGGGGACCCGATTTTACACCGAGATAATCCTAGCAGTAGCCTTCCTCGCCGCCGGCCGCCGCCCGCGCTCGCCTCAGTGCCTCACTCCAAAATGTGGAAAAGATTTTCAAATGTTTCCCTCGCTCTACTGCCCGCTTCGGCCCGTGAGGGTAATTTACAATTAGGACCCTGCTTTCAATCTATATTCGCCCTATACTTTGTGATATTTTCAAAATAGCGCCTGCACTGTAATGCGATCAGAACCGTCCATTGATGATCTGGCGGAGAATCTGCGTTTTCAGGCTCAACAGTGGGGCCCGTGAGCAGGGGCAGGGCTCCACCTCTCGTCTCGACGACGGCAAAGGCGTCGGCGGCGGCGCGCGCGAAGTGGTCAGTGAAATGCCCGCGCGTGGGCTCTCGGAAACGACGCCACGCTTCCCATGCTCACCGCGCGCGGCTTTCGTCGGCTCGTGGCGGCTGTCTGCCTCGCACGCCGGTCCGCGTCGGCTGTGGCGGCACTCCCCGGTGCCGGCGCCGCGCGGTTCCACGACTACGACGCCGCCATCACGGAGTGTGTCGAGAGGCGGGCGCTCCGCGAGGGGCGGCAGGTGCACGCGCGCATGGTGGCCGCGGGTACCGCCCGGCGCTGTACCTGGCGACGCGGCTGGTGATCATGTACGCCAGGTGCGGCGTGCTGGAGGACGCGCGGAACGTGCTCGATGGGATGCCCGAGCGGAACGTGGTCTCGTGGACGGCAATGATCTCGGGGTATTCTCAGAACGAACGGCCTGACGAGGCCTGGGAGCTGTTCATCATGATGCTCAGAGCTGGTAGATCACTTAAATCATTTTGTCTTCTATTGCCGCACGCACCAAACAGGCTCTTGTCATCTGGCTAACAAACTGACCAAATATGATATGATGTGGCCTAGCATAGAGGTCTCCATTTCCAAAGCAATTGGTCTAATACTCGAATGGGAAAGTATGATGAATAAAAATATCTGATCTTCTTGGCATGATAATTCATATCTGGTATCCAAACAAACTTTGATTGGTCTAATACTGGGTGCATGATCTGCTTGGTTAGAGGCTAAAGTTATTCTCTATGAAAATTTGTTGGTTATATACTTCTTCTGTTGATGCATTGTTGTTTTCCCCATAGGCATGCATGTCGCACCACTATCTTTGAACTAAATTATATAGCTTTGCCATCATAATTGTATCTAACAATATGTTAAGCCTGTCCTAGTAATCTGTTAGGTCTGTCCTTTTCTTCTGCAACATGATATCCATTGGCCATCAAGTTTGCATGTTTGTTCATCGTTATAGGATGCACCAAAATTTTGACATCCTTTCAGGATGGTATATGAATGCTATTTTCTAGCTTAAGTCATATATGTAATCAATTTACTTCTAACTGGCAGGATGCGAGCCTAACGAATTCACTTTGGCATCCGTCCTTACCTCCTGTACTGGCTCTGAAGGCATACACCAGGTCAAGCAAGTCCATGCTTTTGCCGTCAAGACAAATTTTGAGTTACACATGTTTGTAGGGAGTTCCCTTCTTGACATGTATGCCAAGTCAGAGAATATCCAAGAAGCTCGTAGGGTGTTTGATATGCTTCCTGCAAGGGATGTTGTTTCCTATACCGCCATTTTATCTGGCTACACCCAACTGGGCCTTGATGAGGAAGCCCTGGACTTGTTCAGGCAGTTGTACAATGAGGGGATGCAATGCAACCAAGTTACATTCACAGCCCTTCTCAATGCATTGTCTGGACTTTCTTCCATGGATTATGGCAAGCAGGTTCATGGGCTAATCCTTCGTAGAGAGTTGCCATTTTTCATGGCTTTGCAGAATTCTTTGATTGATATGTACTCTAAATGTGGCAAGCTGTTATACTCACGAAGGGTATTTGACAATATGCCTGAGAGATCAGTAGTTAGTTGGAATGCTATGCTTATGGGATATGGAAGGCATGGCTTAGCACATGAAGTTGTTCAGCTCTTCAGATCTATGCGTGACGAAGTGAAGCCTGACAGTGTTACTCTGTTGGCTGTTTTGTCTGGCTATAGTCATGGTGGTCTGGTTGATGAGGGCCTTGATATGTTTGATCATATAGTTAAAGAGCAGAGCACACTCCTCAATATTGAACATTATGGATGTGTTATTGATCTTCTTGGACGTTCTGGACAACTTCAGAAGGCACTAAATTTGATAGAAAAGATGCCATTTCAACCAACTCGACCAATTTGGGGTTCATTGCTTGGTGCTTGTAGAGTTCATACTAATGTTCATGTCGGCGAGTTTGTTGCGCAGAAGCTTCTTGACATCGAACCGGAAAATGCTGGCAACTATGTGATCCTTTCTAACATTTATGCTGCTTCTGGGATGTGGTAAGATGTTTTCAGAGTGAGGAAGTTAATGTTAAAGAACACTGTGATAAAGGAACCAGGGCGGAGCTGGATGATTCTTGACAAGGTTATTCATACCTTCCACTCCAGTGAGCGTTTCCACCCCAGGAAGGAAGATATAAATGCTAAAATTAAGGAGATATATGTTGCTATTAAAGCAGCTGGCTTTGTTCCTGACCTGAGCTGTGTGCTTCATGATGTTGATGATGAGCAGAAAGAACGTATGCTTCTTGGCCACAGTGAGAAGCTGGCCATAACTTTTGGACTGATGAGTACTCCTTCAGGCACCATCCAGGTTATGAAGAATCTTCGCATCTGTGTTGACTGCCACAATTTTGCAAAGTTTGTCTCAAAAGTTTATGGAAGAGAGATATCCCTCAGAGACAAAAATCGCTTTCATCTAATTACAGAAGGAGCATGCACCTGTGGAGATTACTGGTGAAAGATAGAAAAGATACAACTATTCAGATTGCTTTGCTGATAGGGGTAAGGTGTCCTTGTGTTGTTGATTGTAGTGCAGATAATGATATGTGATGGTCCACTGAACACACTGAGATGAAATGATATGTATCATGTGCTCTGCATTTTGATTTCAGATCACTACAGTACTTCAGAAAATGTAATTTTGTGAAGGACGTAATTCTACTTAGCTCTCTTGTATGTTCTGTCTACTTTAATAATCTCAGTATGTTTATACTTTATACTTTATACTTCAAAAGATATACTACTGTGGTTATAAAAAAAATGGGAGTTGTTTCTCTTGTAGGTACCTTACCTAAATCATTCTAATACTAACTTCACAGTTTATGCTTGCAGACTCCGATACCAGGGCTATATATATGAAAGGTTTACGCATGTAGCACATATTGTAAGCCATGCTCTAGTTGGTCAATTGCCTTGTAGGCAGTATATTCATAGCAAACATGGAACAAAGCTTCTTCTACCACGAAGCAGTTCAAACATCTACATCCATCCAACACTCAACATTTCTAAAGAGGTAGTTTTCAGAGCATATGTCTTCGGTTGCATCTTGCTGTAGTTAACTTTTGTATTATTTGTTTGCAAATGACATAAAAGTTTAGTATTTTATGTTATATACCAAATTTGTCCTGGAACAGCCTGTGCTTCAACTTCAAAAGCTAAATCTGATAGCTCCATGCATTTTTTTACTCCAACATATTTGTATCTTGTGCTTGCCAAAATGGAGATGTTTAAGTGTTTGGCAAAACTTGGTAATCTGAAACTATTTTTGTTACAGGCACCATTGGCCATGCGCTCCTTGTAACCTTGCAAACTGATGCTCTTCTATGGAATGCTGCATCAATTGGCACGGTGAAGTTGCAACTGAATTTTAAACTGCTGTTGTTGCTGTACAGTGGCAATTCGGTTATTTTCACTCATCCTATTCGTATCCTGTCATTTCTCTCCGTGTTTCTGAGGTAATTTTGAACTATCAGATGCAGTTCACTGTAATTTCCATAGTGATCTTTAGTTGTTTCAGAGTATCTTCAGATGCATTTCACCATTTATTAGCTTAGTTCCCCCAAAATCCTTATCACCTTGTGCACTGAGTTAACATAAGGGCAATTGATGATTTGATGCCACTCAGGTCACGTAAAACCCACCATGAGCTACAACTGTTGCTGTTAGACATTCATCTATCATTGGCCCCTATGGTTTGTCTTGTCATGAAGCTACAGCAATAACAAGGCCCTTAAGAACTATCATTGTTGTCAATAGCTATTTGAGGACTGCATACAATTGGTTCTTATTGTCTGGTATTACTATTAACCTACAATAATTCTGACAAGGTCCAAAAAATCTAGAATTATTGGCATTACCTTTTGTGAAGATCTTTGTCTGGTATTACTATTAACCTACAATAATTCCGGCTATTTGTGTATATGTTTTGCTGATCCATACAATTGCCTTATCATGGAACTAAGAAAACAGCTATGTTTGAAAAAAAGCTATCAGAATTTCTCCGTTGAGTGGAATATATTGTACATGTAGCAATGATTGATTCTTATCAGTATCTCTGTATGAATCTGGGAAAATGACAATAGTCAGGAAAGGTCACCATGGTTAGGTTTAGCTGTCACTGAAGCCATTTCTGTCTATTTGCGAAAAGATGGTGAGCTGATTATTGGTACTGCCTTGCCAAGAATGAGAAAGCGGCAAACTACACTGAGCAGACTGTTTGCCTCCCTGCAGAATCTGTATCCATTCAGTGCAAAAGACAAGTTGTAGGAGATAAACTTGGTGCAGGTTTAGGTATGCCAGCTGTGCGTGCTACTATCTCCAAATTTTGGTAGCTTGTAGGAAATGCATAGCTTTGGAATTATGTGGAATTCATGATCATCAAAAATAGATTTGAGTGTTGGAGAATATTTTCGTTTTGTATTTTTATATTAGGAGGACGGAGGAGGATAGTTATCTCAAATGGTAATGTAATAGCTGACAGCCTGACACCAAATTGTTTACAGTCCTTTGCATATGGATTAGCTCGTACATCAACGCGGCATAATTGATACATACTTTGTTAACGCAATTCTATTTTTCAGATTTTAATTGAAAGGAAAACATTATTATTGTGCATTTGACTGAGGCCCGCCTGTCCTGATTTTGGCCCAAGAGCGACAGAGACTCAGTGGACGGGCCTGGGCACTGGCTCAAGCTCGACACGCAGACGAGATGACGATCAAGGAGGAACAAAGGAAGGAGTTTGCTAGCAAGGCTCCGAGGACGAGCTGATCGGGCGGCGCGGCGGTTGCGGAGGAGGAGGGCAGTGGCCACGACGAGCTCGGGAAACGTGGCGACTATGCTGGGTGCGCGTGCGCCCAAGCCCCACTGGCCGTTTATCCATCTGGCCGTTTCATCCACCATGCAGAGCTGCAGCAGATCCGCGCAGCGCGCACACTCCACCGAGTTCGTCTCCCGTGACGCTTATCGACCCTGTCTTCTGACACTTGACTCACTCGCCAGTCGCCACCTTCGCCGGCGGCCTATATATAAGCGCTTTTTCGGGAGTCGTTGGATCATCCTCGAAAACCGATGGCGCGAGCTCGGCCGGCATTAGCCATGTCCGCGGCGGCGGAGTCGTCGCTGCTGCTGCTGCTGTGCGCGGCGGCGTTCGTGGAGCGCGGCGCGGCGCTGCACCTGTGCACGGACCGCCTCTTCAACTTCACGCAGGGGCGGCACAACGACGGCCTGCCGCACCTCACCCCGACGGAGGAGGCCACGTGGATGGCGCTCCTCCCGCGCAGGCTCCGCGGCGGCGCCCGGGCCGAGTTCGACTGGCTGGCGCTCTACCGCAGCCTCACGCGGGGCGGCGGGCCGGACTACGGCGCCGGCAAGCCGGGCCCGGGGGACCTGCTGACGCCGGCGTCCCTGCACGACGTCCGCCTCCACGGCGGCGACGACGACCACCTCGCCGCCGGCTCGTCCTCCTCCATGTACTGGCAGGCGCAGCAGACCAACCTCGAGTACCTGCTCTACCTCGACCCCGACCGCCTCACCTGGACCTTCCGCCAGCAGGCTGGCCTGCCCACCGTCGGGGATCCCTACGGCGGCTGGGAGGCGCCGGACGGCCAGCTCCGTGGCCATTTCACAGGTTCGTTGCCCATCTTTAAATTCCGTTGCCGCTTCGTTCTGCTCGTGCGTCAATTGTTCATCGGTGGACTTGTTTGTGACTCTGTTCTTCCACTCTCGCCTCGATCTTCCACTTGCTACTCTGCTTTTGTGTGTTTTCGCAGGGCACTACCTGAGCGCGAGCGCGCACATGTGGGCGGCCACGCACAACAGCACCCTCAGGGAGAGGATGACGAGGGTGGTGGACATTCTCTACGACTGCCAGAAGAAGATGGGCACGGGATACCTCTCGGCGTATCCCGAGACCATGTTCGACTTGTACGAGCAGCTGGACGAGGCGTGGTCACCATACTACACCATCCACAAGGTACGTGCAGATCAGACGTTTGTCTTCTTCTTTTTTTTTTTTTGTTCCATCCATGGTCCGATGCAACCTGTGTGTGATATGATCTCATCCATTGAAGCAGCAGCGCTGTGTATTAAGAACTGAAAGCCCAGATCATGTTTTATCTAAAGCTTTGGTGTTCTGACAGATTATGCAGGGACTTCTCGATCAGTATATGTTGGCCAGTAACAAGAAAGGTCTTGACGTGGTGGTGTGGATGACTGACTACTTCAGCAACCGTGTGAAGAATCTGATACAGAATTACACTATTCAGAGGCATTGGGAGGCAATGAACGAGGAGACCGGTGGATTCAACGACGTCATGTATCAGCTGTATACAATAACGGTAATCTTAGTGTCATTACAGTTGGTAGTATTCAGTAGTATCTTGACTTGGATTGTGGTATTATGTTCTTACAGCATTGCTTCTTACTCCCTACAGAAAGAACAGAAACATCTGACAATGGCTCATCTTTTCGACAAACCATGCTTCCTTGGACCTCTTGGTCTTCATGTCAGTTCTTGGAATTTTTCTTTTTACATTTCCAGTCTGGCCTACCAGCAATTAAGCGATATCAATCTCTGTCTTTCAGAAAGATGGCATATCGGGCTTGCATGTAAATACGCATCTCCCTGTCGTCATTGGTGCACAGAAGAGATATGAGGTCGTTGGTGATCATCTTTACAAGGTAAACGAAAAGTTGTGTCGACTTTACCAAGGACTCCTGCATGATTGATAATACTGTGCACTCTCCTGTTTGACTGTTCAGGCAGTAAAGAAATTGATATGAAATGTCTTGTTCCTTTACAATTTGAGTTACTGAACACAAAACCAACCCATGGCACAGGACATCTCAACCTACTTGTTTGATGTGGTAAATTCTTCTCATACATTCGCAACTGGAGGTACATCTACCATGGAACACTGGTGAGTCACAACACTTACATTCACCATGCACGTTTTTTAAGAGTTCATGACTTCATGGTAATCTCCCAGCTCCAATTTTTGCAAATGCCAGGCATGACCCAAAGCGGCTGGTGGACGAGATCAAAATCAGCTCGAACGAGGAGACCTGCGCCACCTACAACTTCCTCAAGGTGAGCAGCCCCACTCCTCGTCTACAAACGCATTGAACAAGACACAATCCTGAGATTTGCTTGTCTGCAGGTGTCACGGAACCTGTTCCGGTGGACAAAGGAGGCCAAGTATGCAGACCACTACGAACGGCTGCTCATCAATGGGATCATGGGCAACCAGAGGGGAACACAGCCTGGTGTCATGCTCTACTTTCTTCCCATGGGGCCTGGGCGATCCAAGAGTGTCAGTGGTCGGCCCCCCCCTCTGGCCTCCTTCCGAAGAATCCAGGGGATGGGGAGGTCCGAACGACACGTTTTGGTGCTGCTATGGCACTGGTATTCTCTTCTTAGATACTTGTGATTGTGGAAGTTATTCTGTTTGTTGTTGTTGCTGATGCCTGAATCTTCTGGTTTGGTTTGACAGGGATAGAATCATTCTCAAAGCTTGGGGATTCCATATATTTCCTGGAGAATGGTGAATTGCCAGGGCTCTACATCATCCAGTACATCCCGAGCACCTTCGATTGGAAAGCCACAGGCCTCACTGTCAATCAGCAGGCCAAACCTCTGTTGTCAACGGACCCCTTTTTCAAAGTTTCGCTCACCATTGCTGCGAAGGTAGCTTCTAATTAACACTGTCAACCAGCACATGATCTGAAGGCTCCATTGTTTGTTGCAAGGATCAGGATTATATGTTATTTCTTTCACATTTCAAATGTTCAGGGAGATGCCCAACTAGCAAAGGTGAGTGTCAGGATCCCGTCATGGACATCAACTGATGGCACAATGGCAATTCTGAATGGCCAGAAGCTCTACCTGACATCCACTGGCAACTCGACCGATGGTATATGAAAATCTTGATTTAAAATTATCAAATTTGCTTCTGTTCCATAGGAGACTGAGAGTGGTTCATGCTGCTTCAAGAAAAAAAAAATGTGATGCCTGCAGCCTGCTTCATGTTTTGTTTCGTTGCAGGTGGTTTCCTGACGGTGACCAAGCTCTGGGCCGATGATACCTTGACTCTCCAATTCCCCATTACCCTTAGAACTGAGGCAATCAAAGGTATGAAATCTCAGACAAATACCGGCATTGATTGTATTCGGCTCTGTACAAATCTAAGAGAGTTTTCTCCCTTTTCCTGAAGAAAAAAACAAACTTAAGTGTCTGAACTCTGAACTAGAGGCTGAAATGGAGCTTTCATTTCAGATGACCGGTCGGAGTACGGGTCCATCCAAGCGGTGCTGTTCGGGCCGCACCTCCTCGCCGGCCTGACGCACGGCAAGGTGCCAGTGACAGACAGTAACCACTCCAACGACGGCCTGACCCGGAGCATCTGGGAAGTGAACGCCACAAACGCCGCCTCCGTAGCCGACTGGATCACTCCGCTCCCCTCCGAGACGCTCAACTCACAGCTCGTCACGCTGACGCAGAGCGCCGGCGGACGGACCCTCGTTCTGTCGGTGTCGATCGCCGACGCGAAGCTGGAGATGCAGGAGCAGCCCGCCCCAGGGACCGACGCGTGCGTGCACGCCACGTTCCGCGTCTACGGCCAGGCGGGCAGCAGCAGCAGCGAGATGCTGCAACTGCAAGGGCCGAACGTGACGATCGAGCCGTTCGACAGACCGGGCATGGCGGTCACCAACGGCCTCCTCGCCGTCGGCCGCCCTGGAGGCCGCGACACGCTCTTCAACGCCGTGCCGGGGCTGGACGGCGCGCCGGGCTCGGTGTCCCTGGAGCTCGCCACCAGGCTGGGGTGCTTCGTGACGACGGCGGCGGCGGCCCCCGCAGCGGGCGCGGGCGCGGGCGCGAACGCCGCCACGCAGGTCGTCTGCCCGGGCAACAACGACGGCGGCAGCGCGAGCGACGAGGAGGCGGCGTTCCGGCGCGCGGCGAGCTTCGCGCGCGCGGCGCCGCTGAGGCGGTACCACCCGCTGAGCTTCGCGGCGCGCGGGACGGCGCGGAACTTCCTGCTGGAGCCGCTGCGGAGCCTGCAGGACGAGTTCTACACCGTCTACTTTAGCCTCGTCGTCTCCGACGCCGAGAGCTGATTGATTGATCGGTGTGCACGTGAACGAACTGGAGGACTGGACTGATCACGCTGTTAGGATCAGTAATGAGTGTACCTTTCTGTGTAACCCGTAGATCCGGTAAGCCTCTCCTTGTCTTCTTGGTAGATGCACCGTAGTGGGTAGACGTCGGTGCCGCAGTATAGAAGACGTCCAGCGAGGTGGCGGTGAAGTCAAGTGGCGCTGGTGGAGAGACGGCGATCCGGTGGTGACCCTGCAGTGGGGCGACGGCGGTGGTGGGACACATCCCGTCGCTGGCAGCATAGCCTTTAGATCGGTTTAGGGTTTCTGTGAGTGGGATGGCGGCTCCGTTTAACCTCGTGATCGAGCTTTGTTCCCCACTCCTCTATATATATATATGTGCTGTGCGACAGGGGTCTGCCAACCAGTTAGGGTTGGGCTCCCCCGATCAGGGAGCAAGAGGCAAGGGCCCAATAGGCCGTTGGGCCTATTGGTGGAGATCAACTAACATTCTCCCATTTGATCTTATTCTATCTTTCAATTTTATATCATTTACTTTTGTTCATTCAATTACAGATTAGCGCATAGAGTATGTCTAATCGTCCCGGTTTATTGCCGATAGATTTAACAGCTACAACACACTACTCTGTTCTGAAATAGATACTAATCTTTTGGGCCTTTTTTATCCAGGAATTTTAGGCTTCCCTTAAATCCATGCTAGCTACATGTTCTCTGAACACCATGTTCTCTGAACATGTTGGGTGGTAAGTCTTTCGTAAGCGGATCCGCGAGCATCCTTTCTGTACTTATATGCTCAAGACTTATGACTTGATCCCGGACTTTATCTTTCACAACATAATACACTATGTCAATGTGTTTGGCAGCACCACTTGACTTATGTTGTGAGCATACTGTACTGCCAGAACATAATCGCAGTATAACTTTAGTGGTCTATAGATGTCGTCAACCATCTTCAAACCGGGTATGAACTTCTTTAGTCAGTTCACTTGCCCGTTGCCTCAAAACACGCTACAAACGTCATACATTGTGGACGATGTAGTGACGGTTTGCATTTGAGCTTTTTCATGAAATAGCTCTCCATTTTCGAGATGATAGAAAATCCACATCTGCATATGTATTCATTCTCGCATAATCAGAATCTGAATATCCTACTATGTGAAATGAATCAGATCTTCTATATGTCATCATGAGGCCTTTCGTTCCTTGCAAATAATGTAAGACTTTCTTTACTAATTTCAGTGTTCTATTCCAGAATTGCTCTTGAATCTGTCAAGTAAAACCCGGTAACAAATGCCAAGTCAGGGCGCGTATATACTTAAGCATGTTGCAAGCTTCCGACAGCTGAAGCATATGGAACCACTTTCACTTTATCAATTGAGCTCATATTGGTTTCTGGGGCATTGAAAATCCCCATATCTGTCGCCCTTGACTATAGGAGCAGGTGAGGGACTACATTTGTGCATACTGAATTTCTTTAAGATCTTTTCCATGTATGCCTTTTGTGACAGTCCTTATACCCTTTTTCTTCTATCTCGGTGAATCTCGATCCCTAGAACGAACGAATGTTCACCAAGATCTTTCATATCAAATTTTGAGGACAAAACTTCTTTGTCTCCTGTAGTAGACTAACATCACTACTAGCAAGTAAGATATCATCCACTTATAGAACAAGGAAGATAAACTTCCTATTCTTAAACTTTGCATAGACACAATTGTCCTCTATATTTTCTTTAAACCCAAAATTCTTTATTGTCTGATCAAACTTCAAGTACCACTTTCTTGAAACTTGTTTTAATCCATTAATGGATTTCTTTAGGCGACATCCCATTCGTTCTTTTCCTTCCATGACAAAACCTTTCAGTTGTGCCATGTAAACATTTCCTCCAAGTTCCTGTTGAGAAATGCTGTCTTTACATTCATCTGATGTAATTTGTAAATCGTAATGTGCCACTAATGCCATTATAATTCTAAAGGAAACTTTACATGAGACTGGAGAAAAGGTCTCATTGTAATCAATCCCTTCTCTTTGCATATAGCCTTTTGCCACAAGTTGCACTTTATATTTCTCTATATTCCCTTGAGAGTCAAGTTTTGTTTTGTAGACCTATTTACAGCCTACTGTTTTGGCTCCTTTAGGAATTATTTCCAAATCCTAAACTTTATTGGCATTCATCGATTTTATTTTATCTTCCATGGTCTCAAGCCACTTTGATGAATGATCACTTCTCATGGCTTCTTCAAATGAGGTGGAATCATCATCCATTTGAAATTCCTTAGTGTTGTACACTTCATAATCAGCAGGAATAGCTGATTTTCTAACTCTTTGAGACCTTCAAGGTGCCTTCACATTTGGCACATCTTCTGTTTGAGACTGTTGTTGCTCCCCCTCATGTGTGGCAATAGGTTCTTTAGGATCCTGAAGAACAGGTTCCTCATCGTCATTCATTGTTGCCACAGGTGGGATAACAACAGTCTTTGCACCACAAGATCTAGTCTTGCTCGGTGCAAATGACAACAGTGTAGTGAGAAAAAATGGTTCATGAATCATTGAGGTGGGCGACACACCCGCTTCACTTCAAGATCAATTTCTCGAGCTACCATGCTCCCCCTCATCAATTCATCCTCTAGGAAGACAAAGTGTTTCGCTTCCACAAACTTTATATGTCTCTCCGGGATGAGAAAATGAAAGCCTTTTGACTTTTCTAGGTATCCAAACAAATGACAACTTACTGCTTTGGGATCTAACTTTTCAATGTTTGGGTTAAATACTTTAGCCTCAAAGTAGGCTCCCTCACACACACGCAAGTGGTTTAGTGAGAGTACTCTTCTCATCCATAACTCATACGGTGTTTTGGGCACCGACTTACTTGGTGCTCTTTTGAGAATATGAATGGGGTTTTTTTAACACCTCCATCCACAGTGCTCAATCAGTAGGTGGAGTAACTTATCATACACCCCACCGTATCCATCGAGGTCACGATTGAATCTTTTAGCTACTCTATTCTGCTGAGGTTTGTCCGTTGTAGAATACTGGGCTACTATGCCATTCTTTTAGGGTATGCCGACCGTAGTACTCCCCCACGATCAGACTTGACTATCTTAATCTTTAATATCTTAAATTTATCCAATACATCTTTTCTTTCTTTGATTGGATAAATATAGCCATAATGGGAGTAATCATCTGTGAATGTTATGAACAAATCATAACCATCCACACTCTTTATAGGAAAGCTGACCATAGATGTCTGTGTGAATAATCTATAAAATTCCTGCGCTTCATTTGTCATCTTTCTTTACATACTTTCCTTTTATGCATTCTCTGCATTGTTCTTAATCTGAGAGCTCTAATGGAGGAAAAATATCATTCTTAACTAGTCTTTCTATTCTCCCCCTCGAAATATGGCCTGAATGATAGTGCCATAATTTCGACAACGCATCGTGAGCTCTCTTATGCCACCATTTCCAGAGTAACACTCTGTCACCAGCTACTTTATCAGCTGGGTAGCATATGTCTTTGAAGAGTCAGTGAACTGACTCTTTATTCTATTGAGGTACTCGGTGACCGTGTCACACTCTGGGATTGAGCCCATAATTGCAGGTTCAATCATGTTCTTTATCACAACCAAACATTTCTTGTTGGCAGTGACCCACTTCCTATGCACAAAAGTCATAGGACTATCTTTTGGGATTCAAAATCCCTCTCTTTAGTTGCTCAAGTGGCATCATTCTCTTTTGTCTCCCTCACCGGTGCCACAAACTCAGTGGATCACGGTGAGGTGACTACCCAGTCCACCTCAAACAAGATGAAAACCAGGTCAAATCTTTTCTTAACATAAAATTAACACCATTTGCATGCCTTGATTCCAACATTGGTCAAAATCAAAACATATAATTATTCTTATACACTAATTTTACATCACCATTGGGCAGAAATAGAATTAATGCATAAATCTTTAACTTTCACAACTGTTCTTATACACTAATTCTACATCACCGTTGGGCAGAAATAGAATTAATGCATAAATCATTAAAATTAACATCTGTTTATACACTAATTCTACATCACCGCTATGTAAGTAGAATTAATGCATAAATCATTTAAATTATGATATTGTTATTAACAACGTTGGTCAGAAAATAACAACATCATAATCATGTTAAATCTCTTTTTCTCCAATTAAATACCACATTGGTTCAAAATAACTGGAGAATAAACAATTTCTTTAGCAGCGGAAAAACTTTCACTCAATTTCTTGAATTTTACCCATAGGGAAAAATTATATTTTCTATTTTCTTTAACCCATTAATTAATTTCCAGGAAATAAACATTTACTGGAAATAGAAAAAGGAAAAACTCATTCTTTTCTGTACTATTCCTTCTTCGGCCCAAAACGACAAAGCGGCTTTACCGGCCCACGCACAGAGCGCGCCTTCCTCAAGGCTTTTTCCTCACCAACCAAAGCCGCAGACTTGGGCTCGGCGGGAATTCGACCTCAAGGCTTCTATCCCGCCTGGGCCAAATCCGTGTCCAAAGGAATCCATCTCCTGCCCGTCATGCGAATAAAAATCCGCCGACGCCGGGTTTACTTTTTCTATTTTTCTTGAGCCAATTTGCATTTTCAATTTTCCAAAAAAAGAAAAAAGGAAAATACGGGCTCATTTCTTTCTCTTTCGCCCAAAACCGCAAAAAAAGCTAGTTCGCCCATCTGTCTATCGCCAGCATAGGCCGCACCCAAAGCTGGCTTAAAGTGTCATGGCAGCTTCGCTACCGCTTGGGCCAATGACGTCTGATTTGATATGCGCCGTTGATTCTGATCCAGACGGTCATACGCGATAGGAGAACAAAACCCGCCACGCCACGCTTCCTCAAACCCTAGTCCATTTGTTCCTTTCGCTTCTCTCTTCTTCGCCGCTCTCTCCTCTTTCTACCTTAGCGCAAAATGCATGAGTGACCGAGAGCGAGAGGCGAGGCAAGCGAAGCGAGTAGTGAGCCCCTTGCA